TTCCCCCTTTCCCCCCCCCACAAAAAAAAAAAAAAAACGTACCCCTGGCGGGACTCGAACCCGCAACCTTTTGCTTAGGAAGCAAACGCCATATCCATTAGGCTACAAGGGCAGCCGCACTTTTCGGGCCGAAAGCTAGCATCGTCGCCGTGGTGCGGCGGCGCGCCTCAAAAGTACTCCAGGCGGGACTCGAACCCGCAATCTTTGGATTAGAAGTCCAAAGCCTTATCCATTAGGCCACTGGAGCAGCTCACAAAAACGGAGAATTTCCGCGCACTGGCAGTGGAGGCGCGGCCGCACTGCGTCGCTAACAGAGGCCGCACCGCCGGCATGTGGGCGTGTAGCTCAGTGGTAGAGCGCCTGTTTTGCATACAGGAGGCCTAGGGTTCAACCCCCTACTCGTCCACCTTTTTTCTTTTTCGTCTCTTTCTGCCCAAAAAACAAAAACGGGGAGGTGGAATTTGCTGTTCAGGGGCGGGGGTTCATCGTGGTCCGATGTGGTATAGTGGATAGAACAAGCGGCTCTCACCCGCTAGACCCGGGTTCGATCCCCGGCATCGGAAATTTTTTTTTTTTTCGTGACGCACAGAGGAATGTCACGCCTCACTTGCCCAGGCCTTCGCGCCACTGCGGGTCGGCGGTTGCGGGCAGGCGCCCTCGCTCTGCAGCACCGTTGGCCGGGGCAAACCGCCACAGGTTCGCCAGCAGAGACACGTTGTACGTGCCGGATATCTCCACCGACGGCTGGCGCCCCGTGCCGATGTCGACGATGTGCTGCCGCCGCGCCGCGTCCAGCACCCACACATCCACCGGGACGGCGAAGCCGAGCTGTGGGAACGGCGTGGCGCTCATCGCCAGGAGCGCCTCGCGGTGCCACTGCCACTTCGTCTCGCCGTAGTCGACCCCCGGCTTGGCGTGGAGCATGCGCGCCACCCGCATCGCCTCGAGGTCGTAGCTCGCCGACTTGCCGGCCGCGCCGCGGTTGATGACGCGGATGTTGCCCCCCACGCCATGGTAGAAGCCACCGAACCTGGTCGACGCGCCGACAAAGTTGGCGAAGCCGAGGTTCGCCAGACGAAACTGCCAGTCGAAGTCCTCAAAGTACGCAGGGAAGCAGTTCTCGTCCAGAAAGCCGCCGGCCAGCAGCGCCAGGCGCGACACCATGAAGGCACACATCGACTGGACGTCAAAGTAGAACATCCCCACGTGCGCCTTGAACTCCCCCCGCTGCGACGCAAACGCGCCGTAGCGGACGCGGTCCGGCAGCAGCATAGACACCGAGAGGCCAGGCACGCTCGCCACACTCGCCCGCAGCGTCGGTCGCCCCTCCGCGAGCGCCGCGGCCTCCTCCGCCGTCACCTCCTCCGTCAGCGCGCGGATGCGGGCCGCGTCGGGGGCCAGCATCGCGTGCACCTCGGGCACATACCGACTGAAGTAGTGCCGCTCAAAGTAGACGTCGCAGTTGAAGACGCCAATGAACGGCACCTCGTCGTGCGGCTTCTGCAGCGCGACCCGGTACCCCGCGTTCACGGCGGCGGCGTAGCCGATGTTCGTCGGCCGGTGCTCGATGATGAGCCGCTCCGACGGCACCGCCGCACGCAGCCGCCGCAGCAGCTCCGTCATCTCCTCCACCGCGCCGTTCTGCAGGATGTACAGGTAGCGCGTGCGTGCGTGGACGCGGCACATGAACCGGCGGAAGTCCTCCCACTCCAGAGTCAGCGGCAGAATCACGAACGGGATGACCGTCGCGGCCGGCACGCCACCCACCTCCAGCCACCGGCGCGTGCAGTCGAAGAGCTCCGCGTCCGACACGGCCCGGTCCGGCGGCGCCGTGGCCCACACCTCCATCCCCCCCTCCACCACAGTCACTTCTGCATCCGGAAGGGAGAACACAATCAGAAGCGCGACACCGGCAGCGAGAACCAAGCAGGCGACGATCAGGAAGCACCACTGCACCGGGGAAAGCCCACGCACATGCGATCGTCGGTCGCGCCTCCTCATCGTGGCAATCGGCCGTGGGCGAGGGTGGGAAGTGCGGCGAGAGCAACAAACCGAGTCACGGTCTACACACACGCACTCCAGTCGCACCCCGGGGAGAAGGGGAGAGGGGGGGGGAGGGACGTCTGCACGCGCCGTGTGACCCGGTGTTCGGCAATTCACCTGGTTAGCGCTGCCCTGGTGTGTGTGCGTGTGCGCGCGCGCTATCTGTGTTGGGCAAGAGTAAGACACCACTGGGAGCGCGAGAGGTGGCGTGTGGCGTGAGGGACAGGCAACGGCAGCGGCGAGTAGAGAGGGCATGGCGAACATCGCCCAGTGGCGCCCCCTCCGTGCAGCCCTGCAGCGCCGATGGCACATCCTCTCTCTCTCCTCGCTCATGGCCATCGCGCTGTTCCTCGAAAGAGATGCGCGGGACGTGGGCGAGTGACGATAAGAGGGAGGGAGGGAGGGAGCGGGGGTACTTGGCGGGGCGAACGTGCAAGACTATCCCGCGGCGACAAAGGTCGAGGGAGTGGTTGCTTGACACCGCGTACTCCGTCCTTTATGTGTGCCTGTGTGTGTCTCTCTTTTTTTTTTTTTTTTGCGCACGCTGGAGTTCGCTTACGGCTGCTGCTCTCAGCCTCGCCCCTCGCCACGCCCCGCTCTCCACTCGGTGTTGCTGGGTTGCTTGGATTCATATGGTGGGAGAGGACTGGTGGGCTGAGGGGGTGCGCGTGTGTGTGTGTGGACGAGAGCGACATGCACACACACACAAAGAACAAGAAAACCCCATCAGGAGAGCGACGACATCCGTCACAAGCACAGCGTTTAACGTGGGAGGGGAAGGGGAAGGGGGGAGAGGCGGGCACCGCGGCACATGCGACTGCGACAAGGGACGGCTTGCCAACGCTCCTCTTCTTCTTTTTTTTTTATCTTGGGAGGACGGCGCGCTTAACTCTTCTCCTCCTTTGTCTTCTTCGACTTTTTCTTCTTTGCGGTGGCACTGAGGAACGCGTCAAGACCTTGTGCATGCTCCTGCTGCGCCTGCTCCTTCTTCTCCTGCAGCGCTTGCACCACATCCGCTACGCCGCTCTGTTTCAGCTGGCGTGCCGCGGCTTTGTCCTCGAGCTGCAGCTTGCGATCTGCCAGCCGCGCCGCCTCTTCCCTCTCAAACTCGGCGCGCACGAGATTCTTGTAGTCGTTCAGAGAGCCGTCGAACGGCGCCACATTCTTGTCGCCAGCGACCCAGATCTGCATCTCCGTCGACTCGATCAGGCGCGCGTCGTGCGTGACGACGAGCACACCACCCTTGAAGTTGCGGATCGCCGCACAGAGCGCCTCGATCGACTCCACATCAAGATGGTTTGTCGGCTCATCGAAGAGGAGGAAGTGCGGGGACTCCGCGCTGATCGCCGCAAACGCCACGCGCGCCTTCTGGCCGCCGCTCAGCGTCGCGATCTGGTTCTTGTGCACGATGCCCTCCAACCCAAAGCTGCCCAGCAGTCGCCGCGCCTTGTCCTCCTCTGGAATCCCCAGTGCCTGGATGCACTCCACCGGCGTCTTCTCCAGCGGCAGCTTGTCCACAAAGTGCTGGTTGTAGCGGCCGATACGCACCTGCCGGTTCAGCGTGATGTACCCCGCCGTCGGCTCCAGCACACCCGTCATGAGGTTGAGCAGCGTACTCTTTCCAATTCCGTTAGGGCCGCAGAGGGTGATGCGGCTGTCCGTCCACAGGGCGCAGCTCACGTCGTGAAAGAGGACTGGGCCGCTGGGGTAGTTGAAGGAGACGCAGTCGAGCTTGCACACGCACCCGTCGCGCAACTCCGGTGGGTCGGGGAAGGGGAAGTTGACGATGTAGTCACGCCGCTTCTCCAGGTACTGCGGGTCGAGGCGGCCGCTGTTCACCTGCTCCTTGATCCACACATCCACCTGCGCGTTCGACATGCCATTGCGCTTCTTGTCGCGGATCGTCTTGGTCACCGTCTCGTACTTCTTGTCCAGCTCCTGGTGCCGCTGCTGCAGCTGCGCATCGAAGCCGCTGTAGCCGCCGCGGTAGTAGTTGAGCAGGTAGTTCTCCACGTGGACCATGTGCGTGCACACCTCGTCCAAGAAGCCCGCGTCGTGCGACACGACGATGAGCGTCTTCGGCCGCTTGGCCGCCTCGCTGTACGCCTTGGTAAGGTACGACTCAAGCCAAATGACGGCGTTGAGGTCAAGGTGGTTCGTCGGCTCATCCAGCATCAACATGTCGGGCTCGATGAAGACGGCAGAGGCCAGCGCGATGCGCTTGCGCCATCCACCGCTGAAGCTGCTCGTCGGCCGCTCATGCCACTCCGTGGGGAACCCGAGGCCGAAGAGGATGCGCCGGGCCCGGGCGTCGGCCTGGGCTGCCCCCATAATGTCCAGCTCCTCCTCCAGGTAGTTCAGCCGCTCCATCTCCGCCTGTGACAGCTCAGTCTTGGAGCGCAGCGCCTTGGCCTCCTCGCCGTACGCGTTCTGCTTCTTGTGACTCTGCAGCACCGCGTCCACCGCGCTCAGCTCCGAGGCCGTGAACTCTTGCTCCTGCTCCACCAGCAGTAAATCCAGGTTCGACTGCACCGGCAACTCACGACTCGCGAGCAGGCGAAGAATGGTCGACTTGCCGCGTCCGTTGGGCCCCATCAGCCCGTACCGCGACCCCGCAGACAGCTTCACCGTGGCATCTTTGAAGAGCGTCTTGCCGTTCACGGAGACGGACACCTTGCTAAACGAGATGTTGCGTGAACCCTCTGCGGCCTGGTCCGTCTCGAGGGTGACGGAGAAGGGGTTGTCTGAGTCGCCGTTCACCGCATCCGCCTTTCTGGAAAGCTGGCGCAGCTCCTCCGCCTGCTTCTCGCTCTTCTCCAGCTTCTTGCGATCCTTGCGGCTCATCACGGAGGCGTTGGTCTGCTCCGCCGTCTCGTGCGACCCCTCCTCCATGGTGAGCAAGCGGGAAGGGAGGTGGTGAGTGAGGTGGAAGCAACGAGATAGAGAAGAGGACAATCGACCGGCTTAGGTATCGCGAGCGTCGACGCTGTATTCGTTGTGTGACTGTATCTGTTTGCGTTAGTGCCTTGTATGTGCAAGAGAGGGAGAGATGGCCACGTCACACGCGCCGGTTACACATAGTCCCTGATGTGTGTCACCTCTGTCTGCGTTGGTGAGTCTGCTTGGATAGCGAAGAAGAGACTTACGGAAAGAAGCGAGAGAGAGCGTTTGAGAAGCGGCTGAATGGCCACGTGTTCGTCACAGCCAGTGCGTTCGTACACTCTGGGCACAACAAAACACGGGTGACGGCAACAAGAGCAACAGCAGAGGCGGCAATCGAATGAAATGTTTGTCGAGAGCCGATTCCCATGCCGTGGCAGCTTGCACCGTGAATATGGTCCCACGTCCCTCTTCCGTGGTCGGCG